CCTAGCCCTTCTTTTTGTGCCTAATGCCTACAGTGGAATACAGGAGAGCGTTCACTGTCAAAGCTCAAAGGAGCATTAACCTACAATGACCACAACCCACGCACTGCTTCCCCAGAAAGGTGTGAGGGCCAATGCAAATACTCCAAAAAGAAGGCGTTAATAAAAGAGGACAGAGCCCTTTCTAGCACCTCCTCTGCACTCACCTGGTTCTCTACATGTCAGTGCTTCATCATAACCTTCAACCGTCCCACAGTGCCCCACTGCCACATGGAGACGTTACAACCCATATTTCACTACATTTGCAACTGCCATGGCTCAAAGCTGCTCCACCTAACAAAGACACCCTTTGCCAGAGCCCTGGGATGCTTTTCCCTCCTTTCCCATTACTGCAGAGCTAAACTCTGCACACTGACCTGCCCCTTTCCCTCTTCAGTCCTCCATTCTTACCTCTTACGGACGATGTTGATGTTCTTCTCCAACTTTTCATAGTTTATGTACTCATTAGGCTCAAAGTGGCTCATGGCCACCTTGGCCCGCTGGCACAGAACGGATGCAACATGATAGCGCCGTATCCCATCATTCAGGGCATGCTGGAAAAAGGAGAGTGTTAGTGCTGGAACCCAGAACTGGTATCACTTGGAATCACTCGTTGGTATTGAGTTTACACTGTTGGGCTAGCAAACACCACCAAATGGGATTAAGCAGATAACCTTCTGTTCCACCATCACATACCAAGATCTCAGTGCAAGGTCCCTACACAAGTCCTCTGGAACATGGGAGAAGAGAAGACTGTGGCACCATTTACAGCAGCTGACCTCAAAGGGACAGGTCAGTGCTAGGGTTAAAAGGCTCTCACACAGCTTTAAAAGCTGAGTCAGAGGGCAGCCTCCATTAAAACTTCCAAGGATTTGCCACATGCGTTTCTTAACATCCTTTGAAAGTCTCCATTGTCGCTGCTGGAAGCCTGAAACCAGACACAAGACAGGAGCGCAGAGTTCTCCCCCCTCTTACAATTTAATCTGAATTCCGCTCTTTCTATTCATCCTCTAGTTTATGTTGACAATATTTTGGAAAGTGCAGGTTAGTAAATACACCAGCATCACACCTGGCATCCCTCGTGTACGTCTGACTGTGTATATGACTGTAAATGAGCAAAGGTCCTTTGTGCACCACAGAATCATAGCATTGACCTCTGGTTCTGCGTTAGCAAAAATTCCAGTCAGACCTTTAGATCACATCTTTTCATTTCTCCCTGTAAATATTTTTCCCATGGCTTTCTTGATACCAGTATCCAAAACATTGCTTAAAATTATCAAGACCAAGAGACAAAGTCTCCAATTTTTATCCAAATCTCCTGTTTTATTGTCTTTTTGATAACATTTGTTAATATTTTCCATAGTAAAAAGTCAAGGAAATCCAGGAGAGAGCACAGCAGCCAGCACACTAGCAATAAGGGTGTTGGTTGTTTTCTTACCAAACAATCCTAAGCTATTAGATACACATCTGTCAGTAGGAGCAATGCACATCTGCAGCATTTTAGCAGCCACGCACCATTTTGGTCCAAGTAAATCTGAAATAAACGTGGTGGTACAAGGAAGAGAATTGCTGTAACAGAAGGGCAAATGAAAGGCAGTCATCAGATTTCAGCCTGCTGCACTTTAAGCTTAAAGCTTCCTGAATATATCACAGATGTCAGACGTGAGATGATGATTTTCCCACTGGAGAACCAACCACCACTTCCTATCTGACAAGTCAGATAGTATCTTCTCAGTTCCTGGGTACTTTTTTTACTTCACTTCACTACTTTACTGAAAGCAGGCTCAGGGAAATGCAGTATTCATTAGAATACCACCACATTCAAATGGTGATCACAGTAATAGCTATATAAAGTAGTTGACTTCTGTTTGATCCCCACCTCAGCTCCAGATGCCAGATACAGAAGAGAAATGAGCACTGGCAAAAACACATTGTTAATGGTGGTGCCTACACTGAAAAAAATTGTTCTGTAGCTGAGAATTTGTTCCTTCAGACAGTGCTATTGTGTTCTCTGTATCTGCTGGAGTTTCCACGGAGACATCACATTTTGAGCAACCTCCATAAAACTACAAGATTAAGTCACAAGACTGGCAGTTTCCAGTTTCATCTTCTGCCACTTTTCCCTGAAACAAGAAGTGCTTCAGGGGGTTTGTTTGGTATTTGTTTGTAACAGGCATGGGAAGTACATAGTCAGCATCATTAGGTTCTGGACTGAGCACCCAGCAAACAGCTGCCCAGCAGGCTCTTCTCACCTGGCATTTAATCTGTTTTCCCTGTACCTGAGTGTCCTTTACTCAGAAAGAAACCACTGCAGGGCTCCTGAGGCTATCTGCGTATGTGTAGGCAAAAAGTCTCCCCCTAGGATAGGTAGAGACAGCTTACTAAAGGTATCATTATCTTCGAAAGCCTACTCTTATCTACATGGACTTTAAAAGCTCATCTGAAAAAAAAAAACAAACAGCTGTCTTGTAGTTAGGTCACAGCACTAAACGTCCAGATGCAAGTTTGAATTCTTGAAACTCACATTTTGGTATCAAATATGGTAGACACATCCAGTAAGCATAAAGCCTGTAGTCAAAAGACTAGAAACTTTGTCACATGCTCTCCTATCCCAAAAAGCACTCCCAGAAATCCTAACTAAAACCCAAAATATCATTTTTCCTCCTCCTCCTCCCTGATCTAAGAACACTAGCCAAGTTTCCAGCGTTGACCATGATTCAGCCTAAAAAAGCACTAAGGTATAATCAACATATAAATGCAAGCTGTTTTCCCAGACCCACTTTCAAGGAGCAACCAAATTTAGCATTCCAAAGATGGGTTAAACTCTAGCCAACAGTTTTCTTGCCAACATACACAAAGCTCACAAAAATGCAATTGCTTTTTTGTATGTACCTACAAGACCTTCAGCAAAGCCCTGACTCTTCAGTCAGTTTCACAGTGCTGTTCTTTCTGTCCATTCCTTAGGCCAACTTGGCTTGAGAAACAAGATGGCTCCCAAAAGCATCTTTCAGAACAGCATGAAAAACACCTCCATCCTCTGGCACTTTTACAGGAACCATACTATAAATAGGACTGTCAGCCTGTACTGGGCTAATTCCAACTCATTTCTCTCTAAGATAAGCCTCCTACCCAGTTCCAACTCCAAAAGCCTGATCTAGGAGGAGAGATGAGCACAACCAGCATGTCATGCCATGCTCAGTGCTGGCACTACCACAGCAGCTGGCAAGATGAGCCACCTTATCATTACATCTCTAGAACTGCTACACATGAGAAAACCTATTACTTGCTTCCTTGCAACCAGCAAGGCAAACAGCAAACAGCCACAACGATGGGAAACAGTCCCTTACACAGGGAAAAAAAGCCTACTTTGAATCTGATCATATAATACCCCCAGAATACTAAAATTTGCTGTGCTGACACATATTTACACATTCAAATGATCTGATGTGACTGCACACACCATAAAAGGAGAACCAACCCAGTATTCTAATAAAAGATTTGCCTTCGTTTTATCAGTAATTGTTTCTGTTCAAAGTGCAAAGTAGCAATTAGTTAACAATGATGAATATACTGAGATAACTGCAGAGATGCCATGCTGTAACATTTACTTAAAAAAGCAGTGCTTTTCTAAGGCATGCACCGAGAGCAACAGAGTAATATAAAATACAAGTCAGAACCATAGAATATACTGAATATCTTGAGTGGGAAGGGATCCATGAGGATCATCAAATCCAGCTCCTGGCTCCATGTGGCACCACCCAAAAATCAGAACCAGTCTGTGAGAGCATTCTCCAAGTATTTCTTGAACTCTGACAAGCTTGGTGCTGTGCCCACCACCCTGGGCAACCTGTTCCATGCTCACTGCCTTCTTCACAAAGTGCTTTCTAAGCACTGGACTCAGTGACCCTTTACGTGTCCCTTCCAAGCTGAGATATTCTGTGACTACTCCGTGATAAGGTTATTGCTGCAGCTCCCTGGGAGCAGGAACACCCTCCTCAAGGTCACAGCTGGCAAATGGAGCAGTCAGAGCTCCCAGCTTCACCACGTGGCTTACTGAGGGCAGTACAACGAGCAGCACTACAAGAGACAACGGCATCCTATCTGCCTTCTAGGTTTTAAAAAACAACGAAGCATTTATTAGCGACTAGACAGTGAATGGGATAACGTACTTAGTATGGTAGTGCCTGCGATGGGCACAGGCAGATGGGGGTTTTAGAGGTCACGATGGAGAAGACTGGGAGGATCACTACAAACCGTGGTTCAAGCCATTTGGAAAATAAAATAATAATAATAAAAACGATAATTTATGCGGCTGCCTGGTCTTGCACGGCCCCTTTAACACACGGATCCAGACACGAAGGACGGCAATCCCGGAGCCGGGCAGCCAGGAGGCGCGGAGCGCCGCTCTCCCCCCAAGGGCAGCCGCAGCTAACGGCACGAGATTAAGAGGAGCCCGCAGAAGGAGGAAGCGCGGCCCTAGGCACAATCTCTCGGCCTACCCGAGCGCGGTCACCTTGCGCTCACCTTGAGGGCCAGCGGTGCCCGGAGGCAGCGGGACCCGCCCGACACCGAGGCCCACGAGGCTGCCGCGCCTCCTCCGCCGGTACGGCCCCGCCATCACCATGGAAACGGGCGTCGGGCCGCGCCGGGGACGCGCTGACCTACGCGCGGAGACGGCGGAGATCCGGCCCCACGCCTCCGCCGCGGCCCCGCGGTTCCTCGGCCCTCCGTCCCATCGGGTAGCGAACCTCACCCCCCCCGCCCCGCCCGGCCTTTCCCGGCCCCGCCCGTCCCGCCGCGCTCACCCGCAGCCGAGCCGCCAGGACGCAGTACGGCGCCATTTTGTGCACTGACAAAGATGAAGTCGCGCCTCGATGGCGTCAGTCGGTCCTTTTGAGACCTCCGGCGCGTGGGAGGGGGCGCCGAGGGGCGGGGCCGAGCGGGTCCTGGCAGGGAGGTACGGGCGAGGAGAGCGGCGATCCCCGAGCGGGGATACGGCCGTCCCCCGGGTTGAAGGGAGCGGCGAGGCGGATTGCGTTTGAAGCAATACGCACAGCTCGGTTACGGGTCGGCGTCCCCTCTCGGAGCGCCGCTTTGTTAGACGCTCTCCACACCCCTGCCAGGACCGGCGTACGGCGGCAGCGCGCCGAGAAGTGTCGCCGGCGCCATGGCCAAGCACCATCCGGATCTCATCTTCTGCCGCAAGCAGGCGGGCGTCGGTGAGTACCGCACCTTGACGTGGGGCTGGGCGGCCGTTCGGGCCCGTTGGGTGCCGTTCGGGCCCGTTGGGTGCCGTTCGGGCCCGCGCGCGCATCTCCCCGCTCTTCCCCCGGCCCTCTGAGCTCGGGGCTCGTGGCGCGCTCTCTAGCGCAGGGATGAGGCTTGGGCTGCGCGGTGCGACGCCGAGTGCGGGTTTCCTTATGGCCGGTGTGGGGTGCCGTTGGCCGAACGCCATGCGCCGGCACTGTGGGCCGGGTGGGTGTGCCCTGAGGACAGGCATCGCTTGTGTTCGTGGTCTAACTGTAGCCGCGTTCCCATTTCTGCCTCAAGTAACGTTTGTTTGTTTTTAATTCTTCTTACAGCAATTGGAAGGCTTTGTGAAAAATGTGAGTATATCTTCCGTTGTTTGAGAGCCCAGCATCGTGGTAAAAGCCTGCAGCTTGATTTCTCTTTATGCTGCAGCAGTTTCAGTGGCTGTGGATACAGTGAGTGCTTGATTGATGGATTTCTCATAATCCAGAATGCAGAGCGATCAGCCTGATGATTTCAAAGAAGAAAAACACATTTTTGGACTCTGACTCCCCAGCTTGAGAAGGGCTTCCCTTCATCATCTAATAGAATGGGAAATGGATGGAAAAAAGTGCCATCTAAAGCTACAGCAGATGAATATGCAGAAATATCTGTTCAACCTACTGCAGGGAGCCTACTTTAGCAAGAGTGTTGGACTTGATGATCCCTGGAGATCCCTTTCAACCCCTACAGTTCTGTGCTAGTGCTCACCTATAGCAGCAAAGAAAGAGCACAGTCAATCATTAGATCCTCAAAGGAGCTCAGTACAAGTAAGCCAGCTATTTCTAGGCTCCAGGAAATGTTAAAAACAGGCAAACTGAAGAGAAGCACAGTCTGAAGCAACAGAGCTGTTTTCAAGAGCGCATAGAAGTTAAACAGATTCCCAGTGGTAGTAGCTGAGGGCAGTCAGCATGGAGATTTAAGAGCAGGTTAAATGAGCTGTTTGTGGGAGTCAGAATTAAATGCCTTGGGAACTGGTAATAAGATACGTAACCTTTCATCTGGAGGTCAGAGTTTTGGATCAGGGCCAGCACAACAGAGACTGTCAATGGCATCTGATGGCTGTTTGCCTGTATGATAAGAGTGCTTGAATTTCACTCAGTTCCTTGCGAGAAAGCAAGAGCAACTCTGTGAAGTGGCTGTTTATGCCAGTTTGCCCTTTCTTTGTCCTTCTCACAGATGAAGGATTAAAAGCATCACAAGTACAATCTCATATCCCATCCCTCTGAGGGTGGTAACACCAGACTTTTGTTGATGTGGCTCTCTGGGAGATGCCTACACTGCTGCTGTGTAGGTAAGGATGCTAGTCCTGGCAATGTGGCATTTTTTCACAAATGAAACGTTAAGGGAAGTTTTCAGAGTAAAAGTAATGATATGACTTAAGCAGTGTTAGCTAATCACACAGGACATGGCTGTTGGCCTCTGAAGTCTGTATACAATAACAGTGTTGCACCTTGTACCTCTAAGCTAAAGTTCTGCAGTCTAACTGCTTTTTGTTTTTGAGTGTACAGGCAAGTTCTTTGTCCAGAAGGCTTTTCCTCTTTTATGTGGGGTGGAGAAAAGGACGTTCTGTAACCAAAGACTGCTGTATTTGCAGGTGATGGCAAATGTGTGATCTGTGATTCGTACGTGCGGCCCTGCACCCTCGTGCGCATATGTGATGAGTGCAACTACGGCTCGTACCAAGGGCGCTGTGTGATCTGCGGGGGCCCAGGGGTGTCTGATGCCTACTACTGCAAGGAGTGTACCATCCAGGAAAAAGATGTACGTTGTCATCCAGTCTCCTGGGGAATTGCTTATGTCTTTGTTTAATAGCTGTGCTTATCTTTAAAGGGACTTAAAGCTAGTGGTATTAATGTTAGGATGTTGGATGCTTGGCTTCTGCTCCCAGAACTGGCACTGGTTTTCATTACCTTGCACTTTTCTTTTTTTGTTGTTGGTTCCCAGTATTTGTGGAGCATTTTGAGATAGCAAGCATCTGTATTCTGTATCCCATCCGATTCTGTATCCCAAAGGATCCTTGAGTGCTTTGCAATGCATACTCACAGTTCGCTTCCTCTACATGCTGCTTGTTACCACTTTCAGCTGTTATCTTACTAGATCTCTCAGCCTAAGTTTTATCAGCAGCAGAGATATTTTAAACGCTGCAAAGGCAGTGTCATGATCAGCTCCTTACTGAGTCTGTGATCATACCATACATGGTATGGTCATGCCACTGGCATGTATGGTACTGTAAGGCCTACAGTATCACCACCTGTGTTTACCTTTGTGTTACAGTAAAGTTAGCTCTTAGTGCCCTTTGTCCTTGCTCCACTAATTGTCTTTTACAAGCTTAGCATTTCTTGTATAATTTCAGTAGGGTGTAATTTTTTTAATTCTTGTCTGGAATGACCTATATTGTAAACACCTTCTTTTCTGCTAATTTCTTATTTCTATACTCAGTGCTGTTTAATTTTCTCTTTCTGAAAGATAGTTGCTGTGCCTGTGCCTGTGAACAAGGCAGATGTTCACTCTCTAGGTATGCAATAATATCCATCACAGTGAGTGCAAGTCATGAAGGACTGCCAATGTAGTAGGAAGACTGTAGGGAGATGCAGAAACATGATGCAGTATGCCAGAATATGGACCTGATGGAGAGTATCTGCTAAGGATTGTGTGGTTTTTGGGCTGGATCCTTTGCAAACACCATCTCCAGCACACCCTGATGTCAGCAGAGTGTGCTGACAAACAGTTCTGTTTGATTTGGAGGAACGTGCTCAGCCGACTGAGCTGCTGCTTTAATTTTCTGCAGCACTCATATTTTCTCTAGAGGTTTTGCAGGGCAAACCCTCGTCTGAATTTAGTCAATAGATTTGACAGGACCACAATCTTTCTTAGTTTCTAAGTATTATATGTGGATAGAAATGCTGTTGGTGGTGCTGCCTCCTACATCTGAAAATGTGAGAAGCAGTAGTTTCGTTGACTTGTCTGTAAAACCAAGGCACTTGGTTTGACAGTTTATCAGTAAAATAGACGTGTGTTTTATTTTCACCAATTCATATTGATTCCTGATGGATATTTTTCATAATCTAGTCTCATCTGTAGGTTCAGATGTGAAATAGCCTGCTGCTCTGGAAGGGAGGGTTATAGAGAATATAGAGCTGGAGGAGCAGAATAGCAAGGCAGAATTTAGGTATTTTGAAAGCTGGATGAAACCTGCTGTAGAAGACCATTGCCCTGTACCAGCAAACTCGCATATTAGGAACTATTGCGAATGTGAATTTACAGATCTAAAAGAGCAAGTGACAAGATTGACTTGCAGGATTGAACAGAGCTGATGCAGGTGTAGGTGTAGAGCACTCAGAGCAAGAACAGCCAAAGGTGGTACACATCACAATTACAATAGCTGGTGCTAACCTGAATAGAATAGGAGAAGCAGGCGGACGTAGCTCTGCATCTGAAGCTCTACCACCCTAAGGCTTCAGTCACAGCACTTATCTTCCTTCATCCTCAGAGGAAGACTGAAAAGGATCAGGAAGGAATAAATGAGATCTTAAAATGATGGAGGTGGATGCACTTAGGCACGCAACGCAAAGGGCCTGGTTAGCCTTGGTTTGTGCCTCCCTGGAGAGAAACTGAGGTATTGTTTTACCTCAGTTCTGTCTGTGGGTGAGGTCCAAGATCTGCCTTGTCATCCAGGACAGATCTGAGTTGCAAAATATAATCCTTTCTTGGGGGACAGGAGCATGCTCATATTCTACCTCCTTGTGAGGGGGTGGAAGAATAAGCAGAGCCCTGCAGTAATGCTGTCAAGATTGTCACAGGCACCCTGGTTTGTGGGAGGCGAGTCTTGGAAGAGTCCTGCTGCTGAGGTTCCCAGTCAAATAACAAGACAGTAGCTAGAGATGGGTTGTGGCAGCTGATTTCCCCCTTCTACTCTTTTCTTGTTACTTTTACTCTGCAGACCCTCCCCAGCAGGTCACTTCTCCCATGCAGGAGCCAGTACTGGTGGCACAGCTTGAGTGCAGTTTCTGCGGCAGCTGACATCTGCCCAGAGGCTTTCTAAATGTAATCTGCTCAGCCTTATGCAACAGTCAAGGACACGTGTTCCTCTGCCTGTTGGGCTCCTCAGCTGCTGTTGCCAGCCACAACATTTTGCCCTCAAGAGTTATGCAGATGCTGGGCTCAGGTGGCTCACTGACAGATGTTCCGTGGTTGGCAGAGAGGTACATGTCTCTGATTTGTGTTTGCAGCTATGCCTCTGAGATGGGGCTCTTCTGTCCCCCTTCTTGCATATGTTTTATTGGTTTGGTTTTTTTTTGTTGTTGTTGGTTTTGTTGTTTGTTTGTTTTTTTGCATACTTTCTACCGCAATTCAGATACAAGATCTTAATCCACATATCTGCTCTGAATAACTGTCCTCTCCCAAGATGACCAGATAGTCTCTGAAGTAATCAATCTAACCTGCAGGAAATCTGAGATTCGCTTTTGCTGTCACAGCTGAGAGTGGTCTCAACACTAGAGTGGCTTAGTGACATCTAAAGCAACAAGATTCTTTGTGGCTAAGGAGGGGAAAGGTTATTTCTCTGAGCCTCATAAATCCTCTGTATCCTAATTTAGAAAGAATCCAGTCTTGAGGCACCGAGCATCCTTTTCATTAAACTGTTGTACGAGCTGTTTTCCATCTTCACCCCGAGGAGGAGAGACTGTTCTAGAGTACTGTTAAAAAGGCATCCACCCTTTTTCTTCTTGCCGATAGTAACCAGAGTTTGAGGGCAGTCTGTCTATGCAGGTGTTTGAAATGTATGTTGAGGACAGGGTGGGGAGAGAGGGACCTGGGATGAGTCTCTCAGAACTGTGTATGTGATGCTGGTGTTCTGTTTGCTCAACTCCACTTTCTCCTTTCTTTTTGCAGAGAGATGGTTGCCCTAAGATTGTCAACCTGGGCAGTTCCAAGACAGATCTCTTCTATGAAAGGAAAAAATATGGATTCAAGAAGAGGTGATCCAATCTGTTCCAGGCTATACTTCCTGTCAGGTTGGCAAAAGGGTGTTGGAACATCTCTGGACTTTACTATTATTGAAAACCAGCTGACTATGTTTTCTAAAGCAGTACAAATTCAGTAGTATCTTTGGGGACTGAGAGGGGACTGAAGCCTGATTGGAACTGACTATCAGAAAGAGTAAAGTTGTTTTTTCAGTAGCTTTGCTAGAAGCTGTCTCAACTTAATTAAAAATATCCTGGTGGGCAATCATTTGCATATGGAGGAGACTGGCTCAGTAAAAACCAAGTGCCCTTGCTGGTGTGGAGAAATGCTCTGCTTCCCTACTTACCAGGTCTCAGCTGTTAGAAATCACCCCACACGTTGGCATTGAAGCACGAGGGCCAGTCCTGTGTGTCTGCTCCCCATCTCTTCCTCCAGTATATTTCCATGATGCCCTGTTTTGTGAAAAAGCTAGCACCATTTGTGGCTGGTGCTTTCCTAGGGAGAGCGCAGCTGTTCCATGTTTTCTTTGACAGATTAATCCAAGGCCCTTTCTGTAACCCGTCCTGTAGGATGCATACCAATAAAGCTACTTCTCTTGTTTTTTATTTTTTGTGTAACAGAAGGATTTCTCTCTGGTTCATTCTGTGCTTAGCCTCTCTGGAGCTTTCTGGGGACACAGAGGATTAGCCCAGCTAGAACTGTACAATGGGTTATCAGGTTTCTGACGGTGTCTGCTTATGGCCATGTGACCTTGCTACAAGGAGCTTCAGGGAATGGCTGTTGCTTTTGTGCTTGTGTGATCCCAGCCACTGACCATTTTGTCCCGTAGCGTGAGGATCGCTGAGCTTGTAACCCTTCTCCTAGCTAAAACGGCTGTGGATGTTGTTTCACCATGCAAACATCCAATCCCTTTCTAAAACCTACTAAGCTATCTGACTCGCTGTCCTGTTCTTGTGAATAAGTTAAAGCCTTCCCTGCCGTAACTGGAAACCAACTATTGTGCGATAGGCTATTAGCTGTATGCGTGCTGAAAACCAGGGGCTGCTTGTTTGTCAAATACCAGCACAGGCTAAAAGTGGTCTGTTTGCTCAGCAGAGATCTGGAAACGGGTGCCTTTACACAGAGGGATAACTGCGTGTGTGCCCCAGGTGGTTAAATTAGAGCTGTACCATGCCCCGTGGTCCTTAAGGTCTTTGTAAAGCACTGTGTGTGCTGCATTTAGGGCAGTCACTGTCTGTGTAAGGCACCTTCTGGGATTTCAGTTATTCCCCTGAAGCTAGTATTGATTCCTCTAGCTCCTCTCTGATTTAAACGTTTCTTCTGCCTGTTGTAGCCACTTAAGTATTTCAGCTAAGAGAAAACAAGGAGACAAACTGTGATCTTCTTTCCCATACAAGTCATTTCTTTCTGCTGGCTCTAGCTGTGAGTGGTCCTACAGCTATCTCAGCTGTTCCTTCCTCCCCACCGACAATTAACTCTATATTTCTCTTCCCAGCTTTTTGCAGTCTTGAGAACACCTGTGTGTCTTCTTCCCTGCACTTTAGTTCCCTTGCACACCTTCTGGTTAATTTTTACTAATGTGGATGCTATTTGTCAATATACTCAGAGCAAACCAGTTCTCTGGTTCCAGCAAACCCACTCTTTGAGTATTTCTGCCTCAGTAAGTGGCTGTCTCTTGTTCCTCGCTGGGAAGCTCATGTCAAAGTCGTTGTCAGCTGCTTTAAATTCTGTATTTCTTTAAAACTATGACATGCAGATTTTTTTTTTATTTTTTTTTGTACATTGAACTTTATCACTTCAGCCAGCATTTATCAGTTACTCTCAGTCAGGCTGCCTGGGTTATCACACAAGGAATGCAGCAGGTTAGTACGTATCTTTTCTGCTTTCTTTTCTTTCCCTGAAGTTTCTTAGATGAGAAATGCCATTCAATGAAGCCAGTGGGAAATGAAGTTTGAATTTCTTTTTCCTCAGAGCTGCTGCCTCTAATGCAAGGCACACTAGAAGATCTAATTTTGGAGCAGCCCTTGTTCCTGACCATTTAACCAGGGGTTGCTATAGAGATCTGAGAGCCCTTATCCCTTCCCCCACCCCAAAAAGGGCTGAGCACACTTACTTCCTTGGCACTCCTGCTGCCTTCGCTCTGCCGGGTGTATCGGGTGTATCGGTCTGCATTTGGCAGCAGCAAGAGCAAAGCTGCCATTTCTAGTTGTTCTGAGTCACTGGGCAGGTGGAGAGAGGGAGGGACAGGCGCTTTTCCCTTTGCCTTGTTTGCTCAGACAGCTCTGGGGAGAATGCCAAATGCCGCTGCTGCTCAGATCGGTTCAGTGCCACTGCCTTTCTGGTACTTTCAGAGCACGGATGGGACATTGCCCTGGAGCTGCTTATTCAGACAAGGGTAACGGATACAGCTGGGTAGCCCTGAAGAACTCAGCTTTGCTTGCATGGCAATGATTTCTGTTCACCAGTGAATGATACCCATGCAGGGCTACCAGTATTTGTTACCTAAAGAGATCAACAGAACAAAACTCATTGAAATCACTCTTGCCCAGTAGATTTCCTGTCAGTACTGCATTCCAGAGCACATAGTAAAGGAGTGATGAGGGAGGGAATGGGACGAGGAGTGTTCTGCTGTGTGCTGTTTGCCTCTGGAGAAGCATCACCAGCCTTGGTGCTCCTGGTGCAGGCGATTCAGGGGCTCCCTGGATGCAGGTAGAGGACAAGGACAGATGGAAGAGATACTGCCTTTCCCATAGGGCTGAACTCCCATAGTGCTGGCTGCAAATCCTGAGTGCATAAGGCTGTACGTCTTCCTGCTATTACTTTTCTAGGTAAAGTTAGTGCTTTTTTTTTTTCTTAAATCAAAAGGATGTTATGTAATAAGTAAAAAATCCTTTTATTTTAAATGTTTACACAGAGGGGGAGGAGAAACATGGGAACTCTTGGCCTATTAGGTAATTGGCCGCTGTTGCCAGTACTAACAAGGCATCACTGCCTTGTGAAACAGGGATGTTCCCTACACACCCCTTCCGACCAAAGGCCAGCCACCGTGTCACAGCTCAGTTCTGAGCTCAGCAGCAGCTCTCCAACGCACCTCCTGTCATTGAATCGTCTCATCAAGGGCATCGACAAAGCCCTTGAGCCTGAAACATGACCTTTAAAAAGTGCTGAGGGCTGGCAGATGCCTTGAGCCAACCTCTGAGCTTTCCCTGCACATAGGTGAAATCCTGCTTTCAGAAACCTTACCTGCAGAGGAGACGTTGCTTTCTCATTATGGAGATCAGCTGGAGATGTTTTGCCTATTTCCATAGCAGGAAAAAGAAATCCATTTCCTTGAGGTTGTCGCGTGACTTGGATGTAAAGAGGATTCAGGGTACGGCGGTGTTAATTATGCTGATTACAACCTGACTGCCCTTCCTCAGCATTGATGAGCCCAGCAGGACTTACCTTGCCCCTGCGGCTGGGCCATTCCTGTCCTCTTTGTGTGGACTTGTTGGCTGTGCTTTGATGTAACACCACACAACCGGGAATGCAGGAGCGGATACAGGGACAGGATTCCTCTTCACGCACGTGGGCCAGCGCAGCTAGGTAATTACAGGAGCGTGGTCAAGATGCAAATATCTTCAAGAGTCCTAATGTGTAAACACCCTCTTAGTAACACCTTATTAAAACAACAATAGAATTTTAGCAATGTAATTGCCATTTTTTCTTAACGATGCCAAAAATAGTGCCATCGTTTTAATTTCCTGATTGCTGGCTGACAGCGTGACTTTGTTTCCAGCCAAGCAAGTGCTTGGTGTTCCAGCTCTTTTGTAGCTGAGTTCCTGTTAAACTGCAAGTGATTAACCTAGCTCCAAAAGTAGCCCTGTTCTGTGGCAAACCTCAGGTTCCTCAGATTACAGGAAAGATTCAGGTCCTTGAGACTTCAGGAGAGGTTCAGGTTGGATATGAGGAAGAATTTCTTGTCAGAAAGAGTGGTGCAGCAGTGGCACAGGCTGCCTGGGGGAGATGGTGGAGTCACCATCCCTGGAGGTGTTCCAGAACCGTGTGGATGTGGCACTGAGGGATGTGGTCAGTGGGCATAGTGGGGGTGGGCTGACCATTGGACTCAATTTTCTTAATAGCCTTTTCCAACTTTAATTAGAAATTCTAAGGTGAAGGGCTCCTGATTGAGGCAAGACAAGCAAAGCTCAGAAAGATGCTGAGGATCTCTGTGGGAGCAGGGTGGGAGAGGAGCTCAGTATTTGGTGTCAGGGGACAGTGGCCATGGAAAGCTATCTGACCAGGGGATGGGGAACTGCTCTTTGAGGTGGTCTTTGGCCATTCTGAAAACAGGCAGTGAAAGAAACGTTTGCACGTACGGCTGTGTACTGAGGAGATCCTATTACAAGAAAAATGCCGCTATGCGATGGTACGTTCCGCGGGAATTCTTTAGAACTCAGGGCTAGGGACTCCGCACCACTGACGGCACGGCCTTGCTGTGCTGGGAACTACACCTCCCAGCAGACCCCGCGTCGAACCTGCCCCCGCCCCGCGCGCACACCCCCTTCGGCTCATTGGCTGAGGCAGCGCACCAATCCGGACGCGCCGCCGGGCCCGGCCGGCCAATGGGGAAGCTGTTGCTAACAAGCCTCAGTTATTTTTAGCACACCGCCGTCGGCGCACCTTGCGGCTCGCCTCCGCCGTGGCCGGGCCGGGCCTATTCACGGCGGCGGAATCGCACAGGCGCACTGTGAACAAATAGTCCGCGAGCGGCTGGGCGGGGGCTGCTCCCCACACGGAGTCCTTTCAGGAGATTAGCGACCACAGGCGGTGGAGGGGGGGGCGGGATCCCCGGGGTCGCGGGACTCATTCACAAGGGTCGGTGCGTGGGAGGCAGCGCCGAGCCGCGTGTGCCCCTCAGTGAAGCCGTGGAGCGTCCCTCCTCGGTCAGCCACCTGATCCTCGCTAAGGCCCCCGCCCCCTGCCTTCCCTAGTGCTGCTGCTTGTCCCTCTGCACAGCGTGAAAAAAGCGAAGGAAAAAAAAAAAAGAAAAAAAAAGAACTCCTTCCCCTCCCCCGCGGGCTCAGCGCGCCGCGCGGCGCTGAGGGGAGGGGATGTAGTTCCGGCCCGCCCCTCCGCGGCCGCATCACGCGGGGCGGGAGCGCGGATCCGTGCGCGGGGTTGCTAAGGGTGAAAGTTTGCCGTGAGTTGGCTCACTCGGGGCCAGGGCGCGGGCGGCTCCAGGCCGGCGGGGGTGAGGTGGCGGCCGTACTCCAACCCACACCTCCGGGCGTCCCTCGGCACCTTCGGCCCTACAGCCACGACGCCACCCCCGGGCCCGCCCCGCGGAGGGAGCGCAGCGCTCGGCGGAGACAGAAGCCAGGGACGGAGCGGAGAGCGGTACACAGAGCCCGGGCTCCCCCGGCCCCCTCAGAGCCTGGAGCTGAGGACACAGTGAGTGGGGCGGAGGGCTCGGACCGACTGGGTGGGCCGCGGGCGGCGTCCCGGGGCTTTCCGTACGTCTTAATGGGGTCGACAGGCTCTGCCCGGCCGCGCGCAACAAAGCCGCCGCTGGCTCTTGCGCCGGGGAGGGGGCCGGGAGGTCTCCGCCGGCGGCCCGGGGGTGTCCTTTGCTGCCGGGAGTGGAGGTCAGGCCCGGTTCTGTTCTCGTGGGGCCGCCTTGGGGGTCTCGGCCTGAGGGGGGGCCGCATCGCCTTCTCCTCCCCTCCCCCCTACCGCTTCGCTGACAGGGAGAGGGAGGAGGAGGAGGAGGAGGAGGAGAAGGGAGGGGGGCGGCTGCCCGGCGGTCCCCGGCTTCGGGGCGTTGCTCCGGGGCGGGCGGTGACACACTGCGCATGTGCCGTGGAAAATTTTTCGCCCTGCCCCACCGTGGCAGCGCTGGGGCGGCGGGCGGGGCAGCGCGCGGGGCGTGCCGGGAGTCGTGGTTCGGGGGGAAGTGGGTCACGGGGAAGAGGGGCGGCGCGGGGGGGAAGCGCGGACTGCAGCTCCCAGAGTGCCGCGCGGCAGGAGGCGGCCCCAGGGCTGGGCGGTAATGGCGGCGGTGGCACGGGGGCAGCCGGCCCTGGGGGAGCGGCCCGGGGGGTGGGGCGGCGCGGCCCCGGAGCAGTTGGATCCCCGGCTTTTCTTTGCCTGTCGCTGTGTGAATACGAGTTGGAAGGAGCTCGAGGGGTCCCGGGAGCGGGTTCTCTCCTTGTTAGGCGGGAGTGGTGGCTCTGGGCCTTTTGGAATGTCCTTAGGAGCCTTGGGGTTGGTTAACCCGTCTCAAGGGAAGGTTCAGAGTGTGCCCCTCTATGAAGAGAGTGGACTCAGTGAAAGAGAAAAAGGACCTGCAGACGGCTCGTGAGGGTGGGGAACCCTTCATACCCCATCTGTGAGCACGACTCTCTCACTAATACTGGGTCTGGGTTAGCATTTAGCACACGGGATGTAAAGATCTATCAAGAGGCCGTTTATTTTCCTGCTGAATTTGCTGGGGTCTCAAGCTGCCCGCTCCTAGGGGGCCTCATAGCAGGCAGGGTTTTTTGGAACCTCCCTTTGGGGTAGCACAGGGCTTTGTGAGCCCTCTTTGAGAGGTTACTGTGATCCTCCAGGGCTCTGCTCAGTGCCCCTTTCTCTGCACAGGGCTCTGTTTCAGCCCTGAGGCTTCTGCCTTCTGGAAGTGATTCCTCCTTTCTGCCTGCTGGAAGCTCTGCTTTCTTATATTTTCTTCGGTGTTCATCCATTCTTGGTCAGGCCCTGGATTCGTTCCTGTGGTTTCTCATGTTGCTGAGTTAAACCCAGAGGGGATTCCTCCAGCACTGGCCTTGCTATTAGCAAGCTTAGGCTGTGGGATTTGCTATTTGTTCCTTAAACTGAGCCTTCTTTGACTGCGATTCATACAGAAAGAAGATGTAGGATCTACCTGTTTGTTTTACTTAGTAATAAAGCCTAAAAATAGTTGAGGGTTTTCTTAAAATGTGCTTATTTAATCCTACTTGTCCACTCAGTCAGCCCAAGCCAACAAGTCTGGGCGGTTCCTCCTAGCCTGGGTGTGGGGCTGTGCTGCTGGGCTCCTGCTTTTTTGGGGGAATGCTGACAGCTGAGGTTTGTGCTCCATCCCCACCCCCAGATAATTGGCACAGGTTGCACTGCCGGGCACTGCATGAGAGCATCCCTGCAGCCCATGTTAGGAAGGCAGCTGAGCGTGGTGTGGCTGCTTGAGCAAGGTGAGGGTAGCTGAAGGCTGAGCAGCCTCTGACGAAGCTGCCAATTAAAAACTGGATATTCTGCTCGCCTGCAGAGAGGTGTGTAGGCTGCTGGAAGCGCGCTTCCTCGTCAGGTATCTGTGGGATGCGCTTGCTCTGGGTGGGTGACAACGCATGGTGCAGTCCAACCGAGGGATTGTACACAGGTAAAAGCTATTCCTAAATCTGAGTGTAATGGGAGAGCTGTGTGTTGTGATTTCACACTGTGCTTTTGTGGATTCTCTCAATTTCAAAGACTTCTTTGGGTGGGTGAGAGGAGAGAAAGGATTACTTCAGTCTCTGGCAAGCAGTTCCAGTTTTTATTCAGTACCTGGCCCTGGCAGTGCTGAACTGCTCTCTGCGCAGGGAGAAGGATGTGAGCGGTGCTGGACAAGCTGGTGGCACGTGTGTATCTTGTGACCCTACACACATTTTCTGCCCCCATCTGAATTAAGTTGAGATTTCAGGCTTGTGGCTAGACTGAGCCTCAACTGGGTATGCTTAGTAAGATGTCTACGTGCTTGCCAGTCCAGAGAGAGTAAACATGGTCTGGCAGCTGGTGCCTCTGCACCCTCTCTTGTTCCCTATCCTCCTGCCTGTTCCAATAGGACATGGTGCTCCTGGCCTCCCAGGGAGAGCCATCTCCATGCAGGTCCTTGCAGAGCTGCTGAGGGAGTCACGAGGCTTCCAGGTGGTGCTCGTGTGCTTGGAGAAGCAGCTGCAGGGAGCTGTTCTGGAAGCAACCGAGTGCCAGGGCGTAGCGAGGCATGTTGGCTGAAATAGCTCTGCCACAGCAGGCAGTCAGCCTGCCTGCTTTTGGCAACAAGGTGGGTACACAACACGTAGCTTGTGCAGGGAGCAGCCACACTCCTGTTTCTTCTGCACAGGACCAGGGACGCTGTTCCCCAGCAGCACCAGGAAATCTGGGCTGACGCCTAGTGAGCATCGCTGCTTGTTCTGCTTCTGCTAATGAAACAGTGTGGCTGTTTGTCTCAGTAGGTGGAGAGTTGCTGTATTTTTCTTGTCTTCATCTATATTTTTCTTTCTTTTTTTTCTAGGTCTGCTTGGAGCCAAATCTTGTCTATGTGTGTGTCATTTTGTCTCTTTTAATACACTGCCCTGACTTGCTTGCTGTGAAGGGAGTATGCATCTGGAGATTAAAGTTGCCCTTAACTTCATCATCTCATACCTGTACAACAAGCTTCCTCGGAGGCGGGCAGACCTGTTCGGTGAGGAGCTAGAGCGCCTGCTGAAGAAGAAATATGAGGGTCACTGGTACCCAGAGAAGCCTCTGAAGGGCTCAGGCTACCGCTGCGTTCATATTGGGGAGACGGTGGACCCAGTAGTGGAGCTGGCGGCCAAGCGGAGCGGGCTGGCCGTGGAGGATGTGCGTGCCAACGTGCCGGAAGAACTGAGCGTCTGGATCGATCCTTTCGAGGTCTCCTACCAGATCGGTGAGAAGGGCTCCGTAAAGGTCCTCTACCTGGATGACAGCGAGGGCTGCAGCGCTGCTGAGCTGGACAAAGAAATCAAAAGCAGCTTCAACCCTGACGCCCAGGTATTTGTCCCCATTGGCAGCCAGGACAACTCGCTGTCCAACTCTCCATCCCCCTCTTTTGGCCAGTCACCGAGCCCCACCTTCATCCCTCGCTCTGCCCAGCCCATCACCTTCACCACTGCCACATTTGCTGCCACTAAGTTTGGCTCCACCAAGATGAAGAAGGGCGGAGGGGCCGGAGGAGGGGGTGGCGGCGCAGGGGCCACGCAGCAACCGCGGATGGTCAGGTCGCCCACTACCAACCTGCTGAAGCACAAGGGCCTCTCCCTGTCCATGCACTCTCTGAACTTCGTCGGGAGCGCTGGGAGCCAAGCCCCGCAGTCGCAGCTCTCCCCCAATGCCAAGGAGTTCGTTTACAGCGGCGGCTCGCCAGGGGCCAGCAGCCTATTCTTCGACGGTGTTGCCAGTGAGAGCCAGGCCAGCATCCCTCCAGCATCGCAGTTCAATGCTGGCACAGGCAGCACCTTTGATATGGCTCAGGTCTTCGGCGGCAGCACCAACAACCTCTTCTTGGAGAAGTCTCCCTTTGTGGAAGGACTCAGCTACAACCTGAACGCCATGCAGTATCCCAGCCAGTCCTTCCAGCCCGTTGTCCTGGCCAACTGAATGCAGGGAAGGAGAGTATTGGGGCAGGGGAGGGAGGGGGGGAACAACAACAACAACAAAAAAACACACGGGGAGAGAAAACAGAAATATACAGAAAATATTCAAATCTTATAAATATAGCTTCTTGGAAAAAGAGAGAACCCAGTGTTGTTGCGCTGTGCTGGCAACGCTCCTGAAGCACTGACTTGTTTTTTTTAAATTCAGTCCCTGTGCTTTTTCTCCTACTCACTTTTTTACTCTTTAAATGAGTCTCTGGTCTCTTGGGTTGTGTTCCCCCTTCCCCAGCCCCAGATCGGCACAGGTGTAGGTCACAGTGCTCCCTTTTCACTCCCACCTGGCTGTAGGAGGGGCAGGCAGGATGAGGTGGGCTTGCTTTGCTGTTACTGCTGTGTGTGTGGGAGGAGAGCATCTCATGTGCTTGGAGGTTCATACTGCTGCACTGCTGTTGCTCCAGGCTAGCATCCAGTTCTGTCTGTGCTGAGAAGCATCTGCTGTCCCCTCTCATCTCCAGCTATGGGAGGACAGCAGTCCCCTTTGCGCACCGATCAAGAGGCTTTTCTGTGCCCTTCTGGGGTTGGTTCAGAGGATAGCCCTGCAGCATAGAAGCACTGCAGGTCTGTCCCTGTGTGAGGAGGTGGTGCTGAGCTGTTGGATCCTGTCCCTTCCTGGTGGACACCCTACCTGCAGGGCTGAGCATTCACTCATGATCCTTTGGTCCTAGGTTTTGAGCTCTTGTTGCCGGCTGTGGATTTGTCTTCATCTTGGAGAGGGGATTTTTTTCAGTAGTTAGAGGCAGCACTATTTTGGAGAAGAAAAGGGCTATGTTGTTGAAGCTGCTGTCTTGAGCGGTGGTAAGTGGTCTACAGGTCACTTCTGTGCCAGGGTCTGCGCCCCCAGGTGGGGCTGGAGGACCCTTGGGTGTGAAGGAGCCTCCTTGGAGGCTGTGGTGGGAGCACGGAAGAGTGCGGAGAGGAGAGAAGCAGTCATGAGACTCCAGTTTTTGACGTTGAAAAGAAAAGTGAGCTTTTTGCTGCCTGCCGGGCTGGGGTTTAGTTCTCTTGAAACGGTGTCTCTGGAGCACACTCTGAAACCCACTTCTGTGGCTGCTGTACCATTGTGCTCCTTCAGGACATCCCCGTTCAGGGAGGTGGTCTGCAGCTTGTGCTTTTTCCCTCTCCTTGACCCAAGATGAAGGCGTGCCAGCCCTCCTGTTGTTGCCAGTGAGCCTTTGCAGAGGCAACGCGATAGGTGTGGGGTGCCATTGCTGCCACAACCCTGAGGAGCATTTCCATCCTGGCGGGGCAGGCCCCCAGCAGGCTGCTTGCTGCCATCGGGCTATGACCGGCACGGCGGGCCGGGCTCACTTGGCTTCTCCTAAAATGGCGTCCGTAGCTCAGCCCTGCGGGTTTCCAGGCTAGAGCAAGCTGCTCAGGAACAGCTGAGCCATCTGCATCTCTCTTTGCCTATTCTCTTTGGTTTTTAACCTACTTACGGATGTTACCACTGCCACCCTCTCCCTGGGAGCGCACTACTGACTGCCAGGCCCCCGCTCGTGGGACCCGGCTGTCCCCAGTGCTGGCAGTGCCACCTGCCAGTCGCTGCCGCGGGACAGCAGACCCCTTTGGCACCTCTGGGGAGAGGCAGGGAGCCCCGGCCCTGTGCATGTGAAGCTTCGATGCCGCTTTGCCCCCACAGCCACGTTGGGAACCGTGGTGCGAGGGGAGGGAGGGACCAAGCTCTGTTTTAAACAAGTGTGCTTCAGAAGCGTTCCCCCGGTGTCAGGCAGCGATGGAAACTAGCAGCCTTTTCAGGGCTTTTCTAGTCTTGGATGTAGGCGTTCAGCTTCAATTTTATTTTTTAAAACCTGCACTAATTTACCTGGTTTCTTAGGGAGAGAAGAGAGACTTTTTTTTTTTTTTTTTTTAACTTTTATTTTTTATGGGTTTGTGTTCTTTTTGTTGATGTCCGTTTGTATTGAATAATTTGCTACATTTGTAAAATGCAAGAGGTATATATAATATATGTATATTTCTAACGTAAAAAAAAAAAAGAAAAATTGTAATTTTTTTCTTTTCAAGATTTTTTCTTAAAAAGAGGAGAGAGAAAAATATTTTTTCAGGAAAAAAAAAACCTTAAAAAACAAACAAAACAAAAAAAAAGGCAGTGAAGATTCCTTTCTCCCCTGCTCAGCCTCCTCCTGTCCCTCCCACCCCACTGCCAGCAGTGAATGGGAAGTTGCCCTGTGGAGAATGAATGAATGGAAGAGGTCCATGCTGCTCTGGGTGGAGGATCTGTGTGTGCTTTGGCGGTTCCTTTCTGAGACGGGGGGG